ATGTCTATGATCATCTTGCACCATTCTGTGAGAGTTGGGGCGTTCTTGGATGTGATGTTGTAAATACTGTACATTACCTTTGTGATTTCAGGCCGATTGTCGAAGCACACTTTCCTGCCCCTATTTGGAAAACCCCATATCCCACAGACACTTGTGGCATCTACAGGAATCTTCCCCCTTTCTGAAATGACTATCTACGAAATCTCAGGGTCATAATGCTTCATTATCCACTGGCTAAGATCTCCGGGCATGCTACTTGCTGCAAGGTCCAGAATGCCACCAAATTCTTTTTGAATGATGACACCCTTTTGGTCAGGAACCAAGTCCTTGTTCAACTTGAAGAGCCTTGCAGGGGATGCCTTGTTCCTACGACCCTATTAAACATGGGGAAGAAAAGGATTAGCAAAAAGGAATTAAATGTTCATCACAGCATAGGCAACTTAATTAGACATCATTGCTGGGAAACTGCTTAGTGAAACAGAGGCAACTATGCAAATAGCTCAGTTCCTCCCGTCTTCTGGCATTTTGGTTTTGGAGGTTGGTCGACGTCTGCACCTTCGACATTTGTATTCCCAGCATCTGCAGCTTGGCTCTCGTTACTATTCTCGTTACTAATAATATCAGGATGCTTCCCCCGTGAAATAATTGCTTTCCTTCTATGACACTTGACCCTAGTTATTGGTGCACTGCTCCGTGGCTGGAAGATGGAAACCACATAAATCAATAAAAAAATAGAAAACACAATCTGTTATGTACAGAAAGAACATATAGCATGTGCACACCTATGTTTGATGCTCTTCATTCCCATGAGATGCAAGGTCATCATGGCTTGATCCATCAGGTCCACCCTTTTTTGACTTATGACTTGTCCCAGCCATCTATTTTCTATTGCATATGTAAAGGACAAACAATTAGCATCATCATAAAAAAACAGAAAAATGGTTCTGGAAAAAGTGTATATCATGCAACAAATTCATTTGACTAAAATTCTTACTAAACTAAGCAAACAACAATTTACAAAAAAGTGGACCCTGCAAAGGGTTGTAGGGTTGTAAACTATCTGATTTTCACTATGTTACAACATTAATACAAAAATACATACAAAAAAACCTAAGTAAAACATGACTACAGGGAGCAACAAACAACTGTTGTGTTGGAAATATGCCCTAGAGGCAATAATAAAAGCATTATTATTATATTTCCTTGTTCATGATAATTGTCTTTTATTCATGCTATAATTGTATTATCCGGAAATCATAATACACGTGTGAATATATAGACTACAATACGTCCCTAGTAAGACTCTAGTTGACTAGCTCGTTGGTCAACAGATAGTCATGGTTTCCTGACTATGGACATCAGATGTCATTGACAACGGGATCACGTCATTAGGAGAATGACGTGATGGACAAGACCCAATCCTAAGCATAGCACAAGATCGTGTAGTTCGTTTTGCTAGAGCTTTTCCAATGTCAAGTATCTCTTCCTTAGACCATGAGATCGTGTAACTCCTGGATACCGTAGGAGTGCCTTGGGTGTACCAAACGTCACAATGTAATTGGGTGACTATAAAGGTGCATTACAGGTATCTCCGAAAGTGTCTGTTGGGTTGACACGGATCGAGACAGGGATTTGTAACTCCGTATGACGGAGAGGTATCACTGGGCCCACTCGGTAGTGCATCATCATAATGAGCTCAAAGTGACCAAGTGTCTGGTCACGGGATCATGCGTTACGGTAAGAGTAAAGTGACTTGCCGGTAACGAGATTGAACGAGGTATTGGGATACCGACGATCGAATCTCGGGCAGGTAAAATACCGATTGACAAAGGGAATTGTATACGGGGTTGTATGAATCCTCGACATCGTGGTTCATCCGATGAAATCATCGAGGAGCATGTGGGAGCCAACATGGGTATCCAGATCCCGCTGTTGGTTATTGCCCGAGAGCCGTCTCGGTCATGTCTGCATGTCTCCCGAACCCGTAGGGTCTACACACTTAAGGTTCGGTGACGCTAGGGTTGTATGAATATGAGTATGCAGCAAACCGAATGTTGTTCGGAGTCCCGGATGAGATCCCGGACGTCACGAGGAGTTCCGAAATGGTCCGGAGGTAAAGATTTATATATAGGAAGTCTTATTTTGGTCACCGAAAAAGTTTCGGGCATTATCGGTATTGTACCGGGAGTGCCGAAAGGGGTCCGGGGGTCCACCGGGGGGGTCCACCCGCCCCGGGGGGGCACATGGGCTGTAGGGGGTGCGCCTTGGCCCATATGGGCCAAGGGCACCAGCCCCAAAAGGGCCCATGCGCCAAGGAGACTTGGGAGGAAAGAGTTCTAAAGGGGGGAGGCACCTCCGAGGTGCCTTGGGGAGGATGGACTCCTCCCCCCTCTTGGCCGCACCCCTTCCTTGGAGGAAGGGGCAAGGCTGCGCCCTCCCCCCCTCTTTTGCTCCTATATAAAGGGAGGGGAGGGAGGGGTGGCCGCACCCTGAAGCCCTTGGCACCTCCCCTCTCTGCTACACCTCCTCCTCCTCCCGTAGTTGCTTAGCGAAGCCCTGCCGGAGTTCTGCTGCATCCACCACCACGCCGTCGTGCTGCTGGATCATCATCAACCTCTCCTTTCCCCTTGCTGGATCAAGAAGGAGGAGACGTCATCCGCTCCGTACGTGTGTTGAACGCGGAGGTGCTGTCCGTTCGGCACTAGGTCATCGGTGATCTGAATCACGGCGAGCACGACTCCATCAACCCCGTTCCATTGAACGCTTCTGCACTCGATCTACAAGTGGTATGTAGATGCAAACTCACTCCCTTGACTCGTTGCTTAGATGAACTCATAGATGGATCTTGGTGAAACCGTAGGAAAAATTTTAATTTTCTGCAACGTTCCCTAACATGTTGCACATCAATCACCAGGCAACACATGTTGGCATTTCAGGCAAATTGCTAAGAAAGCTTGAGCAAGCTTGAGATTACACAAGTGTAGTAAGAACATATGGTGGTTGCTAGGCAACACATGTTGGCATTTCAGGCAAATGGCTAAGAAAGCTTGAGCAAGCTTGAGGTTACACAAGTGCAGTAAGAACATATGGTGGATGCTAGGCACACATGTTGGCATTTCAGGCAAATGGCTAAGAAAGCTTGAGCAAAAGCCAGGCATTGCACAAAGACACTAGGCAAAAAACAGTTGAGGGCATGTCAGGGCAACTGACTAACAAAACTTGAGCAAGCCAGGAACACTAGGCAACAGTTGAGGGCAATTTAGGCAACTGACTAACAAAACTCCAGCAAAAAAGCCTGACAACTCAGTCACAAAACTTAAGCAAACTGACATACATATCTACAACTCAGTCAAAATAAACACGAGCGTCGAACCATAGCACATAAACCTGATACACAAACATTTCAACAACATGAACCTACAGCATAGGTGCATTTGTTGTATGAAAAAAAAGTGCTAGGCAACTATATGAGCATGCTATGAGCAGTTGTTGCGCAAGTCAGTAGATCAACAAACTATGCACGAGAACATCTCCCTCCCTCTCCCTCCACACGCCACGACATCCTACTGAGCATCACCAAGCCTTGAATACACCCCAAATCCTATCTCACCAGCACCCAAAACCAAATCTAACGAGTGCTTAGTCCATTTCAAATCAGTTAACCTATGCATAATCTCTTCCTAATCTCTTACAAATGGCAAAGGTACTCAGTGATTTCGCCCCGCCAACTCACGAGATCTGACAAGCCTACACAAAATGGGATAGAGATGAACTGACCTGCGGTTCTGCCCTCCGCCAAGCAGCAAGGCGATTCTGCTCCTCCACGCGAACCACACGGCGAAGACGCATGCGTCGACCCTCCTCGCCCGCGTCTCTGGCGCTGCAGCGCCTTCCGCCTCCGACTGCTGCTGTATGCTGCGGGCGTAGACGTATGGTCCCGGTCACCGCACCGACGCGCGCGTCGACCTCCTCGCCCGCGTCTCCGGCGCTGCAGCGCCTTCCGCCTCCGACTGCTGTTGTATGCTGCGGGTGTAGACGTATGGCCCCGGTCGCCGCACCGACGCGCGCCTGGCCGATTAACCACTCCCTCCATGCCGCGCACGCTGTCCCTTCCTCACTACGCCGGAAGACGGCCGCCGAATCGCCGCACCGCCACCGGCTGCTCCGGATTTGGTGGATTTGGGAGGAACTCGTTGCGCTTCCTTCGCTCGGGGGAGGTTTTGAAATGGGGGGGCGGGGAGGAGACGAAAGTGCGAGGGGGGGAAGAACTGTCGGGACCCACGACCGCTTCTCCACCCAACGGGTCTCTTCGCACGACGCCACGACCAGGTGCCACCTGGCGCACGTGACAAGGCAACGTCGGGTCGGAGCGAGTGACGCGCAACCGCGCGATGGCGATCCGACGGCGCGCGAGAGCGTGTGCTCTATAAGACAAACGAGCCAACGCCCACTTTTTAGGATTTAGGTTTTATATATGGGGAGTGAGAGCACTCCATATTATCGAGTTTTGTAGGTGTCAGTGATGACTTCGGATGACTTGATGTATGTTCTTGTTAGACCTTTGTTGAATAATAAATAAAGATGACCGCGTATGCGTCGATTGATACAGAGGTCGGGATTTTAACCTCTTTTACAAAAAAAAAAGGAAAAACACAAAGGATCGGCCCAGCTAAGCTACTTAACCAAGCGTCTCACGAGTGCATGACCTAACAACTAGCAAAGCAACGCGAGTTTCCTTCCCATTTCCCTGTCGCAGACGCTGAAGCGCGCATTGACCTTGACTCCACTCTCCGCTCTCCTTCATCTTCCCTCTCGGAGGCCCCAAACCAAATCCCCATCAGATTTTCAGATCTCCTCTCCTCAATCCCCGCTCTCCCGTCCAGCCGCACCACTGCCCAATCCCCAATCCTCCTCCGGCCACAGATCTGTCGCTCCCTGTGCGCCAGCGCCGCCGCGCTTACTCGCAGCACACAAGCGAGAAACAAGAGATCAAGATCAAGATGTCAGAAATCGTCAACAACCTCCTCGCCAAACTCGCCGACCTCATGGGCGACGAGTTCCAGAAGCTCAAAGGGGTGGAGCATCATGTGCAGTTCCTCGAGGAGGAGCTCAGCACCATGAAAGCTTTCCTGGAGGAGCTGGCGCTGAGGGATGAACTAGATCCCTTGACCAAGGACTGGCGGGACCATGTCAGGGACATGACCTACGACATGGAAGATTGCTTTGATGACTTGCTTCTCAATCTTGGAAGTACCAACGCCAACGCAGGTTTTATCGAGAAGACCACTGAACTTGTCAAGACCCTGTGGGCGCGTTATCAATTTGCAAGCCAGATTCAGGAGCTCAAGGATCGTGCCATAGAGGCGAATCATCGATGCAAAAGGTACAAGCATGATGTTAGCAGTAGCTCTAGTTCTGACCTTGTGGCAGTCGATTCTCGGGTGGCGGCACTCTACAGAGAGGCGGCCAGACTTGTGGGTATTGATGGCCCAAGGGAAGAGCTTGTCGGGTGGCTGGTGGATAGTGAGCAAGCACTCAAGGTGGTGTCTATTGTGGGATCCGGCGGTCTTGGTAAAACTACACTTGCCAAGCAGGTGTTTGACAAGATCAGCGAACAATTCAACTGTAAGGCATTTGTGTCGGTTTCCCAAACACCTGACATGGCAGGGCTCTTGATTGGGTTAAAATTGAAGCTCAAGGGAACAGAGACTTGTCGCACCCGCGAGGTGGCAGACATCATCAGGGAGCTTCAAGAGCATCTCACAGACAAGAGGTACTTATTTACTTCAAATAGTGACTCATGGAGTCACACGTTATAGCTGGTGGATGATTTAATTGCGTGATTCAATTGATGCTCATCTTGTTACCGACACCTCAGAGAGGAGGTTGTGATATGATTTAACACGTACGTTTTAAGCAGCTTTTGTGGAGACTTATTTTGTGCGTAGGCCAAATCATGTTTCAGGTTTTGTACACTAAAACGGGCAAGGGCTTGGGTCCAAACAGGCATCTATATAAACTAATAAGAAGGATAATTAAGACCGGAGTTGTAGCACAAAGATAAGTGACCCATGTTTCCATACACATCCTAAAAGAATTGATGGTGGAGATTGAAAGATACCACTTTAGAAAAATGGTTGCCACAGTCCATTTTGCATGTTAGAGATACTCGGACTCGTTAAATTTTGTTTAAATGGATGCCTCTTTGGACCCAAGCCCTTGCCCGTTTTAGTGTATGTAACCTTTTTGTTTCTATCTTGTAACCCGTTTGGCACATAATTTCTTATGTTCTATCCATTGCTATTCTTCCATAGTCCTACATAAGCCTCCACATTTGCCTGGGAAATAATCCTTGCCCCAGGAGGACTGACACGACATTTGCGGTCAGAATGGAGGTAGACTGGCATTACGGGCGACACATATTTGCAGTGCCGGTGGGGGTGAGACCATTAGAGGATAACTCGCGTTGCTCCTGAAAGAAGATGGAGTATGGGCCATTGTCATAGTCTTCTTAACTGAGTTGAAAAAAGATCAAGGAATTCGGTTGGAAATGTAAGGCAGAGAAATACAGTAGCATATGTGGATTCTGTATTTACCTTTTAAGGGTAATTAAAATGTAGGAATAGATTAGGAATTTTCCGGTGATTTTTTCTTTCTTTTTCCTATTGGTTTGCCAACAGATTATTTAATCCAGTAATGTGGGAGTTGTGTGGCACACTTTTGTTACTACTGGTATGTATTTAAAAGGATATTCTTATGATTGGGACTTCGTAACTAGGACACAAAAATATGTCACAAGATGCTTACATCAAAAGTTGAATTTGCACGGTCGAAATACACCTTCTATATGTCTTGGCAGAGTGGGTAATGCTTTTGTAACATAGAAATTCAGACCTAAATTAAATCCATTGTAATTGAGTTTTAACATGTGCGTAATGTTAGTATTACTTAGGGTTGAATGTCATATGAATCTCCTGATTTGGCCTAAGAAATAGCAAATTTGCTTCCATCAAGTTTGCTTGATCTGTTTTTGTTCACCCTCTTTGAATACATTCAATGGTTTTATCTACAATCTATAAGTATATATTTTATTTTAATATATGTAACATACTAACCTATTGAAACCATGACAGGTACTTTATTGTAGTTGATGACTTGTGGGATCGACAAACATGGGATATCATTAGTTGTGCTTTTCCAGATAGTGGCAATGGGAGTAGAATAATAGTAACTACACGAGTGAAAGATGTGGCTCGCCTGGCATGTCGCAATCACCAGCAGTGCTTTTACAAAATGAAGTTTCTCAGCGACCAAGACTCAAAAAGGTTATTCTTTAGTAGAGTGTTTGGCCCTGAGTATGTCGATTCATCCCAATATGAAGAAGTTTCAACTGAAATTTTGAAGAGGTGTGGTGGACTGCCACTTGCTATTATTACAATAGCCGGCATATTAGTTAGTCGCCCAGGAATATTAAGGCAGGATTGGGAGAGCATAAGGAGTTACTTGGGAGTTCAATCTGCCACAGACCTCACCATGGAAGGAATGAGGCGTATATTAAACCTTAGCTACATGCATCTTCCTGCTCATCTTCGGGTATGTTGCTTACGTCTTGGTATGCATCCAGAGGACCACAAGATCATGAGGGATGATCTTGTTCGACAATGGATAGCTGAAAGCCTTGTGCGTGGCTTACCTGGGCAAGATTTGGAGGATGTTGCAAGGAGTTATTTCAATGAACTTATCAATAGAAGCTTGATTCAGCCTGAACGGACAGTCGCTGGGGATGTGGTTTCTTGCAGAGTGCATGATATGATTCGTGATGTTATTATCAGCAAATGTGAAGAGGAAAATTTCATGAGTGTGGTATACAATTCTGAAGACATGGCAAGACTGCATAAATGTAAGCTCAAGGTCCGCCGATTGTTCCTGAGCCGGAGTTCTGATGATGCTATATCAAGGACCACTGCTACTAGTCTGTTGAAGGTTAGATCGATTGTATCATTCGGAGAGTCCAAGTATTTGTTATCCAGATATCTCCGGGTGCTGTTCATTGAAAACTGGGGGATCACTATCGATCTCAGTGAGATCAACCGATTGTTTCACCTGAGGTATTTGAAAGTTAGAGCACAAGACATAAAACTTCCGTCTGAATTGAAAGGACTTGTGCATTTGGAGACACTGGAACTGCTTTCTGATTCAATCCCGTCAGATGTAGTTCAGTTGCCCCGTTTGTCCCACCTGGCTGCTCTATGTCACAGGCTGCCTAGCGGGATCGGGAACTTGAAATTATTGCGGACTCTGTATGGGTTTAAGTTGACAGGTTGCTCCTTGGAGGATATCAAGGGCCTGGGCGAGCTAACCAATTTGCGGGAGCTCTTTCTCGAAATAGAAGATATAAGTGAAATTGACGATGCTTTGGTCTCCTCCATTGAAAAGCTTCGTAACCTGAGATATCTCACTTTTTTTAATTGGGGGCGTGCTGACAATGACAGGCTGTTATCATTATCAAATCCTCCCCTTCATATCGAGACACTACTACTGATGCCTCTCTTGATCTCTAGAATTCCAAAGTGGATTGGTGATCTGCATTATCTCCGTCACCTGGATCTGCGTGTTAGGGAGACATCGACTGATGACATTCGTCTTCTTGGACAGCTGCGCTCCCTCATGGAATTCAAATTGGGTTTGTTGCATTTCGCTGCAAATGGAGTTATTATAATCCAAACAGGATTATTTCCAGCTCTGGAGTACTTTTGTGTAGGCCTTTATGAGGAAGATCATGAGTTACACTCTGCAGACGACGATGTTATGACACACCTGTGCTTCGAGGTCGGGACAATGCCCAAGCTACAAAAGCTCGAGCTACAGTTACACGAGAGGCACTGGGGCGGCGCTACCCCAGTCGGCATGGAGCACCTGTTGGCTCTCAAGGAAATTGAGGTAGCATTCCGCTACCGCAGAGGCACTGATAGGAATGAAGTGAAGTGTCGTGCTGAGTCTGCGCTCAGGAACGCCTTGCAAGAGCACCCAAACCGTCCTTCCGTTCGCATCAATTAGCAGCAATTAGTATTTCGATCACCTTTTCCCAGAGCTTGCTCGTCCCTTCGATGTTTTACATATTTATTCAGTACTCCCTCCGTCTGGAAATACTTGTCGGTGAAATGGATAAAAATGTATGAATCTAGAACTAAAATACGTCTAGATACATCCATTTCTTCGACAAGTATTTTTGGACGGAGGGAGTATTTTTCTTGTTGGCTTTCTTTGTAAGCATGTACGTACACCTGTTTGTTAGACAATGTGTATACGAACCGTTGTAGACGCGCGCGTGGGTGCATTCTATTGTAACTTGGTTAGCTTGTTTAGATTGATCTTACCTCTTTTTAAAAAAAGAATTATCTAGCTTTTTTTATGGTATTGATCTTATCTCTAGTTAACTTGGAGATCACCCGCAAAAAAAAAAAACTTGGAGGTCAACCTAACTCAACCTCCCTCCCGTGTATCTCACCCGCAAAAATTAACACGTACCCGCCCGTCCCTGCGATTTTTTTTTTGAAATGAAACACTGGTATTCCATTAAGACACGGCTCGATCGCCGGTCACAGCACTGAGTACATCATCCGGGTAGCTGGTGAACCACTCACGGTGCTCACCAACAGTTAAACATGCACCTATAGAAGCCAGCACATGTGCTGGACCATTACAAAGTCTGGGCACAAACACCACCTGGGCCTCAATGAAAAGGGTCCTAAGTTTAAACCTGATCTCACTAAACAACACACCCAGGGGCGAGAAAGCATAGGCATTTGAGTTCATGGCCTGCTGAAGGACCAGGCAGTCGGTTTCAAAAATCACGCGCCCTAGGATTAGGCCACCCCCAACCGTTAATTCCTCCGCATCATCTTTTCCCCTTCACATCTGGCTCTGAGTTGACCAGCAACTCCCATCCATGGCAGACACCGCGCTCGCGGCTGCTCGTCCTTGGCTGCCCGTGCTTGCAGGCCAACGGCGTACCCGCGCTTGTCGCCCCGGCTACCCGCGCTCATCGGCCATCCGCTCTCGTCCTTCAACAGGTCGCCGTCGTCGTAAACAGCCTGCTGCATCCGATGCAGTACGAAGGCGTCGCCGTCCGGCGTGGTCAGGGTAACCTCGGCAGCCAGTTGCAGCATCCTGAGCTGCCTCTGGTAGTAACTCCGATGATGTTGTGTGGCCATCCGACGCTGGTGCTGGTTCCAACAAAAAAAGATGCTGCACGTAGAAAATTATGTTGCTGGATGTAGCTTCGTCACACCGACGCTCGACTCGTTCCAGCAAATAAAAATGCCACCCATAGCAACTTTATATACGAGTTGTAGCATTTTCCCACCCTGTTTGCAGCTCTGTCGCGCCGGCGGTCGTAGCCAACGAACGACTAGTTCCAGCAAAAATCAGTGATAGTTCCAGCAAAAATCAGTGCTGGATGTAGCAAAATAATTCGCTGGTTCCAGCAAAAAAGCAAACAGAGGAGTTGGTAGCAAAAAATCAAAGCAGTGGCAGCAAAAAACAAAGACAATGGTAGCAAAAAAAATTGGAACTGGTTTCAGCAGAAAGAGATGGATCCAGCAAAAAAAGTAAAAACTGAAAAGACGGTAGTAGCAAAGAACATCTATGGTGGTAGCAAGAAACATAGAGCTAGTTTGGTTCGAGTCCTGGGCTTCATGCCTGGACGAAAACCGCGCCTGGCATTTGCCTGGCGAGTTCGATATAAATGCCTGGCTAGTTTGGTTCGGTTCCAGCATCTCGTCCACCCACTTGGTCTGGAGCTTGCACTACAGCGTAGTAGCAGCAGCGTGTATTCGCCGTCGGCAGCATCAGCACCGGTGCAATGACTCGATGAACCGCCGAGGGCAGAAAAAGAGGGAGTGGGTCCTGTGTGTGGCGCTGGGACTGACGAGTTGCCATGACGGAGGAGCAGCAGCTACTCGACAAGTTGCCATGGCTGGCCGGCACATCTTGTCGCCGGTGGGGAGAGCAAGCACCTACAGATGGAGGGTGAGGGAGGAAGTGGAGCTCGTTGACCAGAGGAGATGTGTCCGTTCGTGAGGAAGAAATGAGTGGATCTCATCGTCCCTGAAGAGATAAGGTCGTGCGTGAGCGGTGCGGGTCGATCGGTGTATGGCCCATCTGCAGACGAGTGCGTGTGTGCATGAGCGGTGCGGACCGGCCGAAAACTCATCCGGTCGACCGCATATAAACGTTTTCCCTGCGATTTGCATACATTCCAGCCTCGTTTTTATTTATTCATTTAATGGAGTGCCGATCGAATTTTGAGCTGTTTGGTCAAGCATATGTATATAGCAACCTCAAGTTTTCCTTCAGAAAGTCGTAAACTAAACCATAGTAAGTTTACCCAACACGCATGCCGGCGATGCATACATGCCAAATGTGGGTTCAAGAGCATGCCAGCAAATTTTTGCATTAAACAAGGTCCAGAGGTTTCAACAGGCAGACAAATCATCGACCACATATATGGAAAAGAGTTGTCACTCAATTCTCATCTTGGTATCTCAGATTCCAAGTTACAGCCACATTGCAACTGCGGTCTGATGCCAATACTGGTTGCAAGATATTATTGTCCAAAAAAGCACCACAAATTTAACCAAGCTCGAGGCTCCAAAAACAATCGATGTGGACTTATGTCGGGCATTTGGAACTCATAAAAGCACATTCAGTTTGATAACCACCAGATTCAGACAAACGATTATAGTGTCAGATAGTAAATGTTATTCATGTTTCTCGCGCACGAGCCTGCCGGTGAGGAGCCTCTACAACCTGCTACTCCCGTAGATTGACGAAAACAAATGAAACTAGAGTATGGGAGGCTAACAGGACACATTTGTTTCGCTGCGGTTTTTACTCACTTCAAGCCGTTAACTTGAGTTTCTGCGTTACGAACAGAGGCAGACCGAATTACAACTGTTTCTTCTTTTTTGTATCTACTGCTGCCAACTCTGGTATTTAGTGCTCATAACCACTTACATTCTTCTTCTTCTTTTTGCGACTCAAAGTTGCACTAGAACTGCGTCATTTAATTTGAATCGGAGGGAGTAGTACATTCTTGAGTACGAGCCTGTCTTCCAAATTTCCGATACTGCGCAGCAGGGCGGGCGTTTTAGTGCGACTTTTATACATTGGTTTTCATGTTTTCATCCATGTTTGGCTCTATGTTTGTTAGCTCAGCATAAAATATGCTATCGAAATAAGGCCAGCATCTTTTTTGAGGTGGTCGTACGTTCAGTACTACCCCACCCCATTAGCCGCCACAAATGAGATATATCACTCTATGCGAGCACTACTGCGTCGATCGCTTACAAGGGCATGCCGAGCGGGCTGAACCATCAAGCGACGCTACCAAGAGTTTCCTGCAGTGGTTTTACCGAGCATCTCATCGGTTTTATGGAGCGTTTTTCCTAGGCCGACTTTGGGAAGGTTCCGGAAACCTCTCACCCGGTTTTCTTTAACTTTTCTGTCCTTTTTGGTTCTGTTGTGGTTTGCGGAACATTCATATTTTTTTTATGTTTTCACCATTTTCTTTTCTGTTTTTTTGTTTCTTTTTAATCTTTCACGGTTTTTCTGGCTTCCTTTCTGCTTTTTGTTATGTTTCTTATTTTCTTTCTAATTCATGACCATTTCAAATTAATGGACAATTTTAAAATTCATGAATATTATAGGAATTTTCTGCTTTTTTGCAATTTCACGTCATTATTTGAATTCGTAAACTTTAACTGAATGTCTTGAATATATTTTGAAATCACGAACTTTATGAATTTCTAATAATTTTCTTGTAAAAAATAATTTACATAATTGCAAAGAATTTTCAAATCCATGAAACTTTTTTGAATTTACGAACATTTTTGGAATTCATGAACTTTCCTATTTTCATGGAATTTTTTGAATTCTTGATTGTTTTCAAATTAACCATTTTTTAGATTGATGTACTGTTTTTGATTTGCATAAATTTTTAGAATTCGTGAACAATTTTCAAAAAATGAATTTTTTATATGCATGAATGTTTTTTAATTCATGACAATTTTTCAAATTTAGGATCGTTTTTTGAATTCATGACATTTTTTTCTATGCATGAACTCTTTTTGTATTCATGAACTCTATTGAATTCATGAATATTTCTGAATTTGTACGAACATTTTTCAAAAAAACTAATTCATGAACTTTAAAAAATGCAAACAATTTTCAAATGCAGTAATATTTTTTAATTCATGAACTCGTTTTGACTTGCACGAACTTTATTGAATTGGTGGCCAAGCTTTCAAATTCATGAACATTTTTTCCGTTCATGAACTTTATCTTATTGCATGAAAAAAAATTCAAATTCATGATCTTCTTTTATTTGGACGAATTAGATTTTAAATTCATGAAAAAAAATTCAAATTATTAAAAAAATTGTGAAATTTTTTCTAATTCGTTATCATTTTCTGAATTCATAAACTTTTTTGATTTGCGTGAGTTTTGAATTCGTGAACAATTTTCCTAGATCATTTTTGTAAAAATGATGGACTTTTTTTTATCTGCACAATTCTTTTTGATGTCGTTACAAAGTTTCAAAATTCACTGTTTTTTGTAATTCTTTAACAAATTTCAAATTCATGAACTATTTTTGATTTTGTGAACTTTTTTCCAAGTCGTGATTATTGTAATTTAATACCAGTGTCAAGCATGTTTTTACGCCCACCACTGGTGTCTGGCCAAAATAGCAGTGGGGGGCCCTCAACCTGCCTGCCACTAATGTGACCCCAACTATAAGCAGTTTCCTTGCAGTGTACTTTCACTTATTTTCTCTCTCGCATTTTATTTCTAATACCTCGGTTCGTAAATACAAGTTAGCCTAGAAAGCACGCAGTCAAATATGTGTAACTTTGATTATTTTTAATATTCTCAGACTTGTCATGAAAAATACTATCATAAATTTTAGGCTAATACATACATAAAAAGTGCAACGGCCAGGCATGTATGTTAGAGAACGTACAATGTCGAAAACGACATGTTTATTTTGGCGCAAA